ACCCAATACCGACATGGTCGGGTCTGTTGAAACTGTTGAGGAAATTCCTCAACCATTCTCCGTCCCCCACAGGATTGGAGAATCGTCAAAATCTCCTCCGACCGCATCAAAACCGTTGGAAAACGCTGCACCTATATCAGCGCCAAAATCAACGTCGCAGCCAAAAGCTGCGTTGAAAGCAGAATGCCCTCCTGAGCTCCGACCAATAGTCGAAGCCGAACAACGACGCGCCGCCGAAACAGCGGCAAATCTGGCCCTCTGTTCCGCCGCCATCTCTGGCGTCGAAGCCACCCTTCTTCCTTTGACCAACGGGTCAAACAGACAATTCGTAGACTCGATGGGAGTCTACCTACGCGCCGAAAATGCGCAATACATGGCCACGGGCCCGGCCACTACGCCACCCGTCCTTCCTCCTTGCCCGGCAAACCCTCCCCCAAGGGCTCCCGACGCCAGGAGCATACAATTTCCCGCCGTCCCAGTGCTGCCTGTAAAAAGCACCTGGGCTACGGTAGCCAAAAATGGACTGCGACAGAAAGCAGTCCCAACTGTAAAGGCTGTACCGAAACCTGCGGCAAAGGTCCCAAAGAAAGATGCTCCGAAGGCGAAAGTCGACAAACGACTATTCCTTCGCCTAGAAAAGGAGCACCCGTGGCGCCAGCTTACACCTGCTGGCCTACGGCAACAACTACAGAGTGAGCTAAATTGCTTCTTGAGTGACGCCTGCTCTATATACCGTGTTAGAACCGGCTTTGCGATTCTGACAGGGAATAAAAATAAAAGGGAAGAGCTCCTAGATGCCGCACCAAATTTTTCGGACTCCGGCGCCAAGCTCGAGGAAGCCTCCAACTTTGTCGCCTTTCGGATCGCAAATGTTCCGGCGACCATAAAAACAATCGACTGTACTTATACGGTCAATGCGGATTGGATCTCAGTGGAGATCTACCGAAAAACACAAAAACTTCCATACAAGGTGTTACCGCACGGGACATGCCGTCCTGGAGCGCCGTACAGAAATTGGAAAGCCCTTTTCGACCGGAACAACGCCCCTAGCCCGGGCTTCCGCATTCTCGAAGAGGCTGTTATGGCTACCATTCACAAGCCACGACCACAAATTGCACAGTGCAAACGCTATTTGGGCTTCCACACCACCCGTGGTTGCTCCCGCGCTCCAGCCTGCTGGAACTGCGGATCTAACATGCACTCGGAAGCCGAGTGCAAGGCCCTCACTAAGTGTCGTAACCGTGGGGGACCGGTGACCAAAGAGCAGCTCGCGTGGATCCGCCACATAGAACAAGGGGAGTTCTCAAAGGTGGCACGAGCACGAGAAGCAGCAAAAAAGGCCGAAGAGGCGATCATCGCCGCTGCGAAGGACGTCTCAATGGCCGAAGCTACAGGTTTCGAAGCTCTGGAAGCTGAAGAAGAATTTTGAGGACACAGCAACCTCGACGATGTCCCCTTTCGGGGCATCTTCAATCCAATATCAGGATACCGGCTGAGTCAAAGGTGCCTGCTAACCCATCTTTTGCTCTCAGCGGAGAATGGGCAAATTTGTCATCTGGAAGGTGTGACAGACGAGGGAATGTGTGAGGAGCGCATTTACTGGGTCCAATATGGAGGAATCTTCTGGTATTCTGAGTCGTTTTGATTTTCTTGATTTTTCGTTTCTGTTTAATCAGCTGCACTTTTGGTAGCAATTCACGAGGTTGGAACGAGTTAGGCTGTAGGAAAAGTTACAGGGATCCCTGCCGGATCCGCCGGTCCTTGACCCAATGTGGAAAACATAGCTTTAGCTTAGGACCGAAAGTAAAAAATAAAATAAAAAAACAACTACCCGACGTGTTGGCGCCTGAACAAACCCGATAAAGCAAATGAAAGCCAGGATCTTATCATCTTGCGCTTGAAGATTAAATTATATATGGTTACCGGTCTCCCTTCAGTTATTATGTTTTCGAATTATATTGAATGAAGAATCAATGGAATAAACAATATGGAAGGGGGAACTTAGTTGAATCACATGATTCCCTTTCAGTCAGAATTGTTGTGCTTTGCCAAAGAAATTTGTGACACGCACCCAGCTATTAAATGCGTGAACTCCCTCCGCGGAAGCGAGAGCCCAAGATATGCTGGAACTAGAAGCTGTGCTCTGTGGAGGCGAGCCTGGTACTGCCCAAGGAGGCATTAGAAAAAGTGGTTGGGGGACTTTTCTTCTCCGCATGAGCAGGTTAGAATGACGTTTTCGTGCGGAAAGCATCGATGGTAGTCTGCGAAATCGCCATGTCTAGACCGTGCAGCTAATAGATATCCTAGTGTGCGTCGCCCTAGACAGGCGAGCTCGGCAGTAATCTTAGTATTAGGACCAATTCCTAATTCTTTATATCTAGATCGAGAATTTTCTGTCCAGTAAAGTGCAACAGAAGCCTCGTACTGGGCTTTGATTTCCCTTCTTTCCCTCGTAATAGAGAATACCGAGTGTAGAGCTGGATCCGCACAAGCGTCTTTGGCAAGCGCGTCGGCTGCTTCGTTTCCCAGAATACCTGCGTGGCCCGGGCACCATCGGATAGCCACTTCCCCAGGCGTTGTGTTTTGGCCACGTGACCTTCTTTTCCAGTTTGCTGCAAGCTTGCGAAAGAGAAAGATTTTCGCTGAGCTAGACGCTGTGGGAACATCAGAGAGAAGACGAAGGGCAGCCTCCTGGTTTTCAAGGCAAACGGTGACGTTAGAGGCATAGAAAGCCAGTGGGTTGAGGAGTGCTGCAATAAGACCTTCCGTGGCTCCGGCAATTTCAGCATCATAGACCTCTGCCGAGTTTCCTAGAGGGAGTGATCCTCGCCCAATCTCCTGCGTAAGGCCTCGATGGATGACGTACCCCGCGCCTGCTCGGTCTGCTATGAGAGCTCCATCTGAAAATACGAATAAGTCTAGAATGGGTCGAGCAGCCTGCCACTGTTTGAAGGATTTTGATCCCGAAAGTCTACCTACTGCCCCAATTTTGATTAGCTTTTCCTCACGGGGTGCTGACCATGGTGGGGGGATGGTATCTTCGGAAAATTCTGGTGAAATCCTCTGGCGGATCCAGCGCATGCGGCTAGTGTTCCAACGCCTACGAAGAGGGTGATAGGGGTCAGCTGCAGCAATTCGAACCGCTTGACGGCTGTGAATTCTATTAAGCCACGTCTGAGCTGGGCCCCAGCCAGCTTCACGTAGAAGTGCTGCTATTGGTGTGGTACGGTAGACTGGGAGAGCTGCCCATGCCGCGTTTTTCATCCTATGTTAGACTTGCAAGATGATTTTTTGGGAAGTCTGTTTAGAGTACCATGTCTCGGCCCCTTATTTTATTAATTCATTTTATTGTCCTGTCTGAGTCTATGACTATGTAGGATATGCAGGTCCTCTCTGCCTACAGGCCAAGGATATCTATGCCAGTAGTATATCCTCTCTTGTGCCTACCATACAGCTCCCCTCAAACAGTACCACCCCTCACAAGTCCTCATTCGATCATACACTTAGAGGAGCCCTTTGCCCTTCATTACCTCCCCTCTCAGCCAACAAAACCATGGCCATTTGCGGGTGTATGGCAGCCGGGGAAAATCGCAAAAACCATTGGGTGCGGAGCTCTCCTGATACCGAAATTAGGATTAGATCCGAAGACATAGTGCTCCTTCTGAAGCGTTCGAAGAGGCCGACTAGCTGAGCGCTGCAGACTTGTGGGTACCTCGGAGAATTCACACTCTGCCTTTCTAGCCTCCTTCCACTTTCTTCCCGAAGGCCGTGCTGAAATGTCAGAAAAGTCTTGACAGAGCGTGATTGCTGTATAGTAGCTTAGCCTAGCTTCTTATGTACCGTCCAGGGCGCTGGAGAGTGCCGTTGACTCTATCTCGGCCCCGTAGAAAAGAATCGCAAAGGCAGCACCTTGTAGAGCTTGTCTTAGAAAATGGGGCTAATTCCTCGAGTGGTTGTGGACAGTCTTTTCCTATGGCTCGTGATAGCTAGAGACTTCCGGAAAGCCTGTATAGTATGATATTGGAACCGAAGAGTACGGTCGAAAAATATTCCAAGCCAACGAGTGTGGTCATTGGGGGTTATAGTTGTCCCTCCAATACTAAGAGTAGGCTCTAGTGGTGAGCCTCGCTTCCGGTGAAAGTATTGCAGCTCAGTCTTAGGAAGTTCGAAACTAATTCCGTTAGTCAGACCCCATGCTATAGTGCTATCTAGTTTCTCCTGGAGTTTGCGTGCACATTCGTCTAAGGAGGACGCAGACCCGAAAAGGGCAATGTCATCTGCATAGCCAAAGCGGCCAGTTGAAAGACGTGGTGCCTCTTCCATAGCCAGAAGAAATAGAATTGGCGATACTGGTGAACCCTGTGGGAGATCACAGTGAGTTTGGAAGGGCGGGGAGGTAGTATCTTCAATAGAGATGATAGATTCTCGCTGCTCCATGAATGATGCTACCCAGCGAACCACGTTCGATGGTCATCCTTGGTTTCGAAGTCTGTAGCAGAGCCGTCCTTTTTTGATACCATCAAACGCCCGTTGGACATCGACAGTCACTATACCAGCTACTTTCTTTTCCATCCCTTTTAACTGGATATCGCAAGCAAGTGCTGTGGTAAGGTCAGAGGCAGAGCGAAGAGGAATGGCACTGCATTTGTCTCCACCCAATCATTAATGGTCCTTGAATCAGTTGTGTGTTTGTGACTTATATCACGTGCTACTATCCACAATTACATGCACGACTGAATAATGTGGCATGTTGCGGGGTGGCGCCGTCCCTACGCACTGAACCTATGTCTCCTCGTAACAACTCTGGTCGTATACAATTTCAACCAGAAAAATCATACTCGTAAGGGAATTTACTAAATCTAGATCATTAAACTAGTCCACATATCTTTTCAGCAATTGTAGGTTAGAATCGGCCGTTCACGTTTATGAAAAAGAATGATCCCTTACGTTGATATCAGAAGGGATACTGCTATGCCTTCCTACTATTGATACAGCGAAATATGTCGAGCGAAGAAAATCATGTTCGTGAGGATGCACATCAACATACACTCAGTGTTATCCTTTCGCCGGAAGAACGGGTTGGGCTTTTCTCCCTCACTACCGTAATTATGGCTACTATAAGAGCTAGGATTTTAGAAAGTTTTGATGATAACGATACGAATAAAAAGACATCGACAGAAATTTCGGATTATTGTACGGAGTATTTTGACAACTGGCAAGATGGAGTTATCGAGATAGTCGGCGCAGCTATCAATTACCGTAGCGACGTCGCTCTAGAAGTGGAAAGATTCCCCACCGATAGAGTGGTTCAAGTATCTAAAGATATACAGCCAGTTGGTGAGCACTCAGTTACATGTTTAGGTGAAGAGATTTGGCTAACTTATCAGGTTCAGCCTATCATGATACAGCTGCAGACGAAGTACTCTTAACTGAGTATCCACCCATTCCAACATTACTTTGCGCTCTTCCAAACAATAAGCGTCTTCTATTATTGGAAGGAATGTTGTTACAGCTTCTATTACTAAATAAATATACTGCCTATTCCCGCATTTTTCTTCTTTATCTTACTTCGTCTCTTCAATTGCCTCTTAGTGTTCTTGTCGACGATGAGATCAGAGTGGCGCAGTACTTAATCAAGACAGCAAAATTAATGTCTGGTTCAAACGAGCTTGAGAAACGTAGTGAATCAAATAAGATATCGCGTAGGTGGAAAATCGGACTTGCCGGAGTTGCTGGCGCCACAGTCATGGGGGTGACTGGGGGTCTAGCAGCCCCCTTGGTTGCTGGTGCAATAGGATCTTTAATGGGTGGTATAGGACTGGGCACAACGGCTGCAGCGGGCTTACTTGGAGCCCTTGCCGAGAGCGGCATAATTGCTGGTAGTCTTTTTGGAGCGTATGGAGCGCGTATGACAAGTAACGCTGTCAAATCTTATGCTAAAGAAGTAAACGACTTTGCATTCCTATCATTGAAAAATCCGACAAACCAGACTATTATGCAAGGAGATCATCGCCTTCGGGTCACAATTGCCATAAGTGGTTGGTTGGTCACAGAAGAAGATATCATTAATCCTTGGTTCACCCTTGGTCATCAGAGTGAAAATTTCGCGTTGAGGTGGGAAGTAGAAGCCCTTGCAAGTCTAGGTACTGCCATGCAATCACTTGTCAAGAGCACAGCCTGGAATTTGGCCAAAAAAGAGATCATCTCTCAAACTGTATTTTCGTCACTCGCCCATGCCCTATGGCCTATGGCTCTCCTTAAAATTGCCAAAGTATTGGACAATCCTTTTAGCGTATGCATGAACAGAGCAGATAAAGCCGGTGTCATTCTTGCTGACGCAATTATTAATAGAGTTCAAGGTGAGAGGCCACTGACATTAATAGGCTACAGTTTTGGTGCAAGATTAATATACTCGTGTTTGAAAACACTCTTCGAACGTCGAGAGTTTGGCCTTGTTGAGAGTGTTGTGATGCTTGGATCACCAGTTCCATCAGATGTAGCTGCCTGGAAATCAATGCGTTCTGTCGTTGCTGGTCGCCTTGTTAATGTTTACTCCACGCATGACTACATTCTTAGTTTTCTATACCGAACCTCGAAAATTCAATATGGCATTGCTGGTATCCAGCCAATAACGTCTGTTAACAGAGTTGAGAATTTAGAAGTAAGTGACATAGTCAATGGCCACTTGAAATATCGAGACGTTATGGGCACTATCCTTCAAAAACTTAAATGGGAGGGAATTGATCACGATAAAATTGCAAATCAAAATGGATATTCCGTTTTGTACTCAGATGTAAAACCAGAATAAAATAAGTTTTTGACAATTTAAATAATGCTTCAAAAAAAGGAATTCATGTATATGATATACCCTGTAAATTTATGATAGTATCTTACATTGAACAGTCTCATATGACAGGATTATCTCAAAAAGACTTTCGCTGTTCTAATTAATCCATTCACTCAAGGAAATAAACTACTATACATTGAGTAACACACTGCCACATCCAGCAAGATAGGAGAAAGTGAAGGTACTTATTTTTGTTGGAAGTGCAGGTCTTTCAATTGTACATGAGACGAGACTATACTTCTTTAGAAGTAACTAGATTGGCGTCGAACGGATAGATTACGTCAGTTCTTTCCTTAGCAGCTACTCTAGAGAAAGCATTCTCTCATATTCTTGGTGCATCGCTCCCGGTATGATTTCAGTATCTGCTCCAGACTTGACTGTAAAATATTTCTCACCATTCATCTCCGTGACATTTGACGATGCGCCAAGAACATCCCAGTCCACCATTTTAGGCGGCTCTTGATTTTGTCGCCTTCGAGGACGCGTACATTTGCCACTGTAAGACTCATGTGATAAGGCGGCCTTCAGATCCACCAATCTGATGGTGGAGTCGCGACGCCCAGCGTCAGTTTCATTTCGTAGGCAAACCAAAGGAGCAACGCCTGACGTGTCTACGCGCTGAATAGCCTGCACAAAGCGAAGCTGGGTAAGAAGGGTCGTACGGATGCATTGAGCCTGCGCTGAATCAGGTCGTGGTAGGGCCGAGAGGCGTATTAAATTTTGTAGCTCCGCATCCGAGACTTCTGGAGTCATGGAATCCGAGTCGGCTAACATTGTATGAACAGACCAGGTGGGTTGAGCAAGAAAATTATCAATAGGATCGAGGAGGGTACTGTCCGCAATTATCTGCGGGCGCGAGAGGTTAGGAGTCGCAGGGGTTGATAGCTTGCTGGTGGCATCGCTTCTAGGTTGGTCTACAGGAAGTGTTGTTGTATTGTTGTGATTCCGAAAGCTTCGTGTAGCCTGTATCTTAGAGATAAAACCCATCCGGGTTTGGACTCTGCGAAAGCCGACGCCAGTACGTTGAAGCATATTATTGATGGGTGAGGGCAATTGTAGGGAAAGGAAGAGGGACGGATCAGGATTGTTACTGGCGCGTGGATTTATTAGCCGAGACTTACACTGAAAATATCCATTTTTTTGCAAATCTGTACAGTAAACATCTTTACATGAATTTTATTCAGAAAAATATTAGTCAAGCATCTAGAGTTAGGCGGCATTTAGAAAAATATATAAATTAAATTAATTCACCATCATAAGCGCTCGAAATTACCTCGTCGGTAGATTATTGTAAGCGAAATAGCTAACAAAGTGCGCTTCTACCTCTACAGGACCTTGAGCTTACGTGGTTACATAAGATGGCATCCTAGTACATTTGTGGACTCAGCGCGTCGCATGAATTTCGCGTGACGCAATGGAGCCCATAAACATAACTTACTCCTTAGATATCCTGAGGGAATTACTGTTGATTTCTGTCAGGGTATAGACCTTTCCTTGTGACAAGGTAAGATGTGAGTAGACTTGAGTATCCAGGATTTAATCACCATAAGATGAATGGCTCTTCTTGCAGTTTTTATTCGTTATATATCGATAATAAATGTGATTCGAAGGCGAGAAGTCATGAATTTGAAATAGGATCACTGGCTTCAGATAACCTTTTCATCAAGGGACATCTTCCATAAAAGAATTTTATCAAGTCAAATTATTCTTCCTCACAAAACGTCCTAATGCCGGGCCTAGCTCTTCTGTCTTCTCAGCCAACCTCTTTTGAACCTTTGAATTCTGATTCTTCCTCAATTCTTCGATACGTAATCTCCTCTCATCAATTACATTTCTTGATCCCTGCTTTCTCAAATATTTCCGTAGACTACTGTTCTTTCCTCGCCCACGATTTTTAATCATGGCAGTCGGATCCACTTCTTTCTTATCAAGGTTTTTATCTGCCTTACGTTGTTCTGCTGTTGATATATCTAGGTTACCGATGATATTCGGATTGAGAGAGATCATTTCGGGTTGAAGTTTATTAAGTAGAGATCGAACTTCATTTTCCTGTCGCTGCTTGGTGTTTTCGTATGGGTTAACTTCGTAAGCGTCAAAATTTGGCTCACCAGATCCAGGTACGATGAGCGAAGAGAATCCATGATCATGAGAGACCCCAAGTAAGTCTTCAAAGGGGCACCATCTCACTCGCTCAATCCGTTTTCCTTGTCCACTCCAGGACATGTAAGGATCACGGACTTTTTCTTGCTCTGCTGCAGATTTTTGGAATAACCCTCGCCATATTGTTGTTTGTGTTCCCCAGCCTACAGCAGTTAAACCACGATCTGAGATTGCTACAGATGACCCTGGCTGCTTCAATGTATAGGTGTTAACCTCCTTAAAAGTTCGTATATCCCATACGCACATTTTTAAATCTTGTCCGGTGGAAACCATATATCTTCCTTCACGATCGATTCCCAAGGCTCTGACAGGACCCCGATGAGCAAGAAGTTTGACCAAGGGTGTAGTAGAATTTGGTGACCAGAGTGTAACGTTTCCATTTTGGTGACCCATGTGAAGTATGGCGTTTTGTGGATTTTGGGTAAGAGATGTAGGGGACCCAAGACGAGTCGGTAATTCAACAACTATTTTCCCAGTGGAAATATCTTGGTACTTAAGGCATCCAGCATTACCCTACTAATTTGTTAGCTAAACTGTTGTCCATCGAAAGAAATACCTTACAACTGTTGCTAGAAGATAGTGGTACGGAAGAAATTCCATATTAGTTACTTCAATGTGCTTTTTCAAGCAATGTATTTCAACCCCGACCCGGTCATATATATAAACATACTTTTTTTGAGCTAGAGCGAATAATTGGTTGTTGTGTAACCATTTGGCATCTCTTATAGTTTCTCCCAGTTGTAACTCGCAACCCAGCCTGCCTTCCCTCCAGTCCATAGTTGCAACATGTCCCTTTCTACCCGCAAGTAAGAGTTCTCTTCCATTTCGAGTGTAATCGAATACATATGGACCTAAAGCATCTAGTTTAAGGTCGAATTTTTTTTTCGCAGTTTCAACTGCTACCTCGGCCTGGATCTCATCTTGCCTGACTTTGTATGTACGTTCCATTTCATTCTCAGGCTGCAGGAATCCTGCTTCATTTTCAAGTAGAATTTCTGCATCTTTTGCCTGAAGCGTGGCTGTTTTGTGTTTATCCTCGAGGGCTTTTAGGTTACCGCGAAGTTTTCTGTCCTTGATCCCCCTCACCACAGATTGTTAGCTTTTTTGATGTGAACTAGCAGCTAAATCACATACATGGAATTTTTCGACCTCTTCCATATAGTTTTTCTGCTTCTCTTTGTTTTCGAACTTTGGCGGCATCCTCAGGAGTTGATAATAACTTTTTTTGTCGTTTAACCACAACTGCGCCGTTCGAATGTACAGTCGTATTCTTTAAAACATCTTCATCCGCTGTAAATTGACTTCCATGATTAGCTGTCACTCGATCGTCCATTATAAAAATTTGCAACTGAATTGTCCGACTGTTGTGCCTGCTACAAAAATACGGCTATAACGACTAGGGTAGGCGCAAAGCAATTATCCCATGTTCTTCACGATAAGCGATAAGGCGCACACAAATTTGGGGTATTACATCCAGCGCCCGCTTTCAAGGAATAACACAAACAGGTAGAAAACTTTTAAATAGATAGTCAATAAGCTGCCCCATTGCGCTTCAGAGATATCTGAAGGCGGATCATACAATGCCTTCAAAACTAGAACCGCATTCTCATAGGAGTACTACCAAGGTGGTTCACAAGCCTTTCAAGTCTAGGAAGGCAACAAAGGGTTTTTTGAAAGAAATCAAAAAAGGTTTGCGCAGAGTCTTGTTGAAACTGGCAAAAATTAATGCAACCAGGGAAAATGGACGATCTTAGCCATCGGAAGACACCTCATCAGCTAGTTATGTCAAAACTCGACCGTCGAAACCATAATAAACAAAAACAATTGGCCAAGCATAGAGAACACCTAAAAGAAGCGAGCATATTTTCTGGTAGAAATGGAGTGCCACGTATCGTAGCAATCATTCCGCTAAGCTCCAACGTTAGTGCAGCGGCAGCAGCTCGATCTCTGAGCCAAAGCCTTGACATTACCTGCGAAGTCCCAGAAGAGGGGCAAATTCAAATTGATATTGATCGTTTTAAGCAGAAGGTGCAATTTGTTTTGGTCGCAGCCGAGCTTATGGCATGCCTAGATGCAGGAAGAGTTGCAGACTTTGTCATATTCATACTGTCAGCAGAACAGGAAGTAAATGAAGAAGGAGAGAATATCATTCGTAGTGTGGAAAGCCAAGGAATATCTACGCTTCTGACTACAGTCCAAGGGCTCGACAACATTGAGCCTCCAAAAAAGAGAGTTGGCGTTTTGAGCTCCCTTAAATCCTTTATAAAGCATTTCCATCCCGAACAAGAAAAAGTTCATAACTTGAATTCAAGGCAAGAATGCGCAAACCTTATGAGGTCAATTTGTACGACTTCACCCAAAGGAGTACGATGGCGAGATGAACGAAGCTGGATGCTAGTTGATGAAGTTAAATGGCCAGCGACTCCACAAGAAAGTGTTGCATTAACTGGCACTATAAGAGGGAAAGGATTAAAGGCAGACAGACTAATCCAAGTTGGAGAGTGGGGGGATTATCAAATTGAGAAAATTGTTGCAGCTCCTTTAAATTCTTCCGGAAAAAGATCTAGCGATTCGACGGACGCATCTACAGCTGAAATCATTTTGGAAATACCAGGAGATGATCAAGATGACCTAGCCGAACTAGCCCTCGAAGAGACTATCATGCAAGATGTAACGGAAAACAGTGGATCATTTGAAACAACCCAAAAACGTGGTGTCCTACTAGACGATCACCATTATTTCTCTGATGAAGAGAAGCACAACCTCACAGTACCAAAGAGGCTACCTAAGGGTACATCCGCATATCAAGCTGCATGGTACTTGGGGGACGAGATTTCAGATTCCGATTCAGACATCGACGAGACTGATGAGCAGGATACTGAAATGGAAATTACACCACTACCTCAAGATGGAACCGAAGGCCTTGCTAGGCCAGAACCAACCGAGATAGACCCGACAACGTATGCACAATCAGAGATCTTCCTGGATCCTAATCTAGATGATGAACACGAAGCAGAGCAACTGGCTGCATTTAGACGTCGACATCATGATGAAGCTGAAGACGATCGTGAATTCCCTGATGAGATAGAGCTGCATCCACAAGTGCTAGCACGAGAAAGATTAGCTCGGTATCGAGGACTAAAGAGTCTTCGGTCTAGTCCATGGGAAGAAAGTGAGGATCGAGCACATGAGCCTGAAGAGTGGAAGAGGCTCCTTCAAGTACCAAATTACAAGTCAGCAAGGAGTCGAGCTACCCGAGAGGCTCTAGTAGGTGGCGTTGCTCCCGGAACAAGAGTTCATATATATCTGAAAAATGTACCTCTCTCTTTAAAAACTCTTTACGACAGTTCGCGACCATTAAATCTCTTTTCATTGCTCCGTCATGAACATAAAAGGGCGGTTCTCAACTTCAATATTAACCTAAGCTCTGACTACCCAGAGCCCATCAAGTCTAAAACCGAGTTAGTACTACAGTGTGGGCCACGTCGTTTCGTGATTAATCCGCTTTTTTCTCAAGGAGGCCACACTAGCAATGATGTTCATAAATTTGACCGTTATCTCCACCCAGGAACGTCAGCTGTGGCTACTTTCATTGCACCATTAATCTGGGGATCTGTCCCTACCCTTGTTTTCAAACGCACCAATCAACCACAAGAAATTACGGACAAAAGTAAAAATTCTATAATCCCTCTAACGCTTATAGCAACAGGAACATCTCTTCCTCCATCCTCAACAAGGGTAATTGCTAAGCGCGTTATTCTGACTGGCCACCCATACAAAATCCATAAAAAGTTGGTCACAATTCGATACATGTTTTTCAACCGTGAAGACGTCGAATGGTTCAAGGCACTACAATTATGGACTAAAAGGGGAAGAAGTGGCTACATCAAGGAGAGCCTGGGTACGCACGGATATTTTAAGGCTACTTTTGATGCGAAAATTAATCCCCAAGATTCCGTTGGTGTCAGTTTGTACAAACGTGTATGGCCGAGATCATCCCGGACCTGGAATGATCTACAAGAAGAGATAATTGCTAATGAAGTAGACGATATCATCATGGGCTCTTGAATGTCTCTTCTGGTCGAGCACTTTAATAACAACAGGTCAGAATTTGAAAACTCAGTTCATTAACGCCTTGGTTCCAACCTATGCTGTTATTTTCCTCGCATCCTCAAAGTAGTTTAAAGTCTATTATGATGCACTGCATATACCGGGGCTTCACTAGTAGCCATTCACCAACTTGCCAGTCGCAATAGACTTAGCATAAAGTTAAATTTTATTTAAACGATAATACATGCTGCAGGTTTAAATCTACAACTTAGAAAATTCTCTACGATATCTTCAAAACCTTCGATCGGACAAATTGATCAAAGGATTCTAATCAACTACTAAATTTTAGAAGTCGATATGAGTGAATAGAGGTACTTTTACAGCCTCTCTAAGGATAATTCGCATGGAGCAAAATCTTGAGGCATAGACACAACGAAAGTGCATACAGCTATAACTAGTTTGATCCTACTATGGCAGGAATCTTTTGGGTGAAGTTTCCCGTCTACTAGTTCTAGGGACGTAAGGTAAGTGAAGATAGCAAAATATACCGAAGCGAAGCCGAGATGTTTGCCTAAACCCAAATTTAGAATGAAACGAAACTTTGAGGTTTAGTTATATCTCCGCTGTCTTGCTCATCTAATAACTTTCATTTGCCGTTCTACATTTCACGCTCTTACTTATAGTATGTAAAGTGATAAAATTATAAGCGTCACCAATTTGATAAAATTAGACTGCTTTATTTTCCTTCTTTATCTTGAAGTTTATATCAATGAGGTTCCTAGCTAACAAAATTACCTTAAGGATCAAGGATGATAGGATATATCCGTGAAAACAGTAAATGATTAAGATTGTCGATTTGCGACTGTACTTTGCTCCACTCTCGGCGGTACTAGATGCACGATAGAAAGCTGTGTGGACTGGTCTTTTTTTCTTCAGTTTATATTCACGCCACCTTTGCCGCTAGCTACCACTGCATTTGTCCCCGTCAGTCTCTCTCTCTCTCTACCGTATCCCGCTCATGCTAGCTCCGGGTGTCGTTTGTTAATGCCCGGACTTTATCAATCAGCGTGGCGCTAGGCGCACGGACATTACATGATTTCGGTGCCTGGAACCTCAATTATTCCCATTCCAAATTTAGAGCCGTCCTCAGCTCGTTGCATGTGGGTTAGGGGATGATTGAAATTAGGGTCTCATTAACCTTCAAATGTTCCGTCTATCCATATTCAAGATGTTCCGGCTGCCATACTGTAGACTTTGAACCGGTTGTCCGTGGCGAATGAAAGCAGGGAATAAGTTCGTCCCTTTAAATCTATTTACCAGTTTGTTTCCCCCTGGCGAGATAAGTGAATATGTGTTGTTGGCATGACAGGCTTAGATTTCCCAAGGTTCGTCGTAGAAGGGCTCAAATTTGTTTCTTCCTTGACTAGCTCTAAATACATAGTCTCCCGCTGGCAAAGTTCTAATCAAAGCCTTTGATTCTTGTAAATACTCATGAGTTTTAGCTCTTGCTGCTCTAACGCTGCTTACGTATGATCGAGCAATAGGTACTGAGTGCATTTTCACTAGTTCGTGTGCCCATTAGGATTGTTCCGCGCTAGTGGCCTCGCGGGTATAAACTGGACATAGGATTTCGCTGCCAGGGGACTGCGTGTCGAAAAGTAGATAGAATGGGCTGTATCTAGAAGGTGCGATATATCTGTTGTAGATCGAGACAGCTCGAGGAAGGGTTTCTGTAAGTCGCAAATCTTGGTTATCGAGAGTGGGGTGTATTAGACTAGTTTTAACAACACCGTTAGCTTGCTCCACTCTTCCGTTATACTGTGGGCGATAGGGTGTCGTGAGGATGAAAGTGAGGTTGTATTTGCTTTGGAATATGCAGTGCCTCTTTTTCTGTAAAGCGTGCGGCGTTTTCGAAAACTATCTGTTGGGGTGTACCAAATACATGGATGATGGGGGACTATTCTCAACACCTGTCAGTGGTGTCCCCTACGAACATCCAGCTCTCGCTGTAGAGTCTGCAGAGCCGAGATTGAGTAACAAAGTCCACACTCCGACGAGGATTCCCAATCGCTTTCGCGGTCTATATCGTCTTCATCTCTCAACACATTCCCCTATCACCATTATCATGAAGCTAACCACGATCAGATCAGATGGTAGGGTCGGAGTCCTACTCATCACTAACCCTTGATCAGGGAGGAGATGCCATCCAATGAGTTTCCGGAGTGTTCCCAGCACCCGATACAGAGATGGCGGATTGGATCAAGTCGACCTCGACTGCTACAAAGAAGGAAGATATAGATGAATATGCGCACCTCATGTGGTCCCGGTGTCTAGGCCTCGCCTGGCTGGGGCTGCAGGTTTTTTGAGACTTTTTCCCGCGCACGCAGTTTCCATTGCTACCATTTTTATTTTTTTTGGGTAGAAGGTTCCGTGGAAAAGGTGGCTGAATTCCACGGGTAAATACTGAGCTGAATGGCTGTTCATCACGGGTAATATATCAATGATCTCTCAAGTAACAAAAGGGGCAAGGAGCACTGTACAAAGCGAGGTCGAGGTCAGAGAGGAGCCCAATGTGCTAGATAGTCATAGACTCAAGTAGTACAATAAAAACAAACACGTACGGATGATTGTTACGGTTTGACTATTGTTTGAGCTCAGGTGGATACCTAAGCGTAATACTTGTATTGAAAATATTGCGCGATGAAATGGGCGCAATGTTCATGGAACGAAAGTAGAAGCTGACTAAAAGAGTGTCATATACGGATTAAAGCTAAAGGTATAGGAGATGTGCGCTGCACGTACAAGTGTAGGAGGGCAAGACTGAACACCTGTACGCGGTGCCTTCTGCGAATCTAGGAGTGAAATATTCTCCCAGAGCCAAGTTCAGTCAAATTTCGCAATATCAAAGAAGTTGGCCCACGAGGCAATGATTCAAGTTACTCCTCCACGTCGTTTTTTCGCTCCCAACGAGTTTGACTCCTACCTATGCCTCATCAAGTCTACAAGTACGACCTAGTACATCCTCATCCCAATGACCACACCTCTCTTTGACTTTCTCAGGCCTCAGCCGGTCACCAAATACACGCCCACGCCGATATTTATACCCGACGGAGGAAGCAAAGCGTGGGGCACAAATCTGGAATATAGTTCTTTGGGATGGACGTGAGAGGGATCAGGACAAGTTCTCAAGATGATGCAAAGGATGGATACATTCTCGACAGGCGTGAAATTTCGAATTTTGGCAGGAGTTTTACGAATTGAGCTTTGTGCGCGCCAAGACTTCGCTTGCGAGAGTGCAGCTGACACTATAAAAACAAGCCAACGATGGAAGGTGTTGTGGTCCGCCTCCCGGTGGTGTCTTCCGGTAAAGTTTGAGTAGCCTGGGCACCTACTCCACTTGGGAAGGAGACATCTCAGATTACATTTCGCTCGGAGAAAAGTTGATGGATGACAGAGGCATATCTGGATAACTCAGGGTTTTTGAGACGTTCCCCTGAGTGGGTATTCACGGATGAGGGTTGACTTGGGGTGAAGAAAAAGCCGCCATAACTTCGCAGTGGTACTTGCAAATGAAATCTGAGGCATGAGTGCTCCTCTTGTAAATTGAGTCATCTTTTCTGTACTTTTCTTTGATATTGTGTCATGGCTAGATAGATGCATACGCAATTAAAATCTGATGCAAAAAAAAGTACAAGTGTAAGCGACACAGAGCCTAAGCCACAGCATAAACGAGTGTGGCGCCATGTAGGCATAGAAACCCCCCCAATAACCACCTTGTGCCCACGCTATACAGCTGCTCATATCTCCAATATGGTAGCGCTTCAGGCTACCATATTGCCCATTCCAACCTCTTACATACACACAAGATCGTGTCGGGAACCCTCACGAAATGGAGGGCCCGTACGTCCACAACACTCCGCGTCTCCATTTCCAGGAACTTGTTTACAAAAAGATTGCATGGGGAGGGAAAGATGGAACTAGACTAAAGGATAATACAAGTCAGGCCGCTATATCGCTGTTACAACTAAGTAACGCCAATCAATACGTAGCCAGTTAGCGAGTATGATGTCTGGAGGAAAGCCATCAGTTAGTACATTCAAGAAGCGGATCAGTCGTTGTAAATACCTGTTATTTGTAGCTAGAGTTCTCTTTTCTCCTCGTATAGTTTAATAAATCGATTCATTCATCACCAACTTGGTTCTATCACAATGATGTAGCGGAGTAAGTCAATTATATTTGCGAAGTCTGACTTTGGGACGATGCGTGACTCCAGCCAACCTGATGCGCACTCCGCTGCGTTTAGTAATATTTTCGACCCAACTTGCGCGTGGTGGTGACGGTTGGATTGGCCATAAGTTACCGAGCGCAGGATCAGGCGGTTTCATCGATTAGCATGAACGGCAGTTGCGAATCACCTCATATGCTGCCAAAATCATTTCTGGATGCCAGTATGTTGGAGTGACATTGCGAATGGTGGTGCCAACAGAAGCATGACCTAAACTCTCGTGCATTTTCTGACGGATGACTTAAATCTTATCGATTTTAGACATTGTTCGTCGACTTTGTATATGCACGTGCGTAATCACAGACATTGGAAATAATTCATGAGATTGCTTAATGAGAGGCTAGGATTGATTCCGATATAAATTGGTAGAAGAGTTGTCCCAACCGTCAGAGGGCTACAACGTCTTTATCTATCTACAGGTAAATTTCCCATATTCCAACCACGTATGAAGGGGCTTTATACTTGTTGTTCACAATTATGGATCCAATGAATCTATACTTTATCTAAATTGGAGAATATCTACGATGCGCGCGCAAGATGATCTGTTCCAATCGAGCGCTTTTTCTCGTAACACTAGCGCGCTTTTGTTCATAGCCGGAGCCTGATAGTTACGGATCCACATACAAGGCTACAGCCTGTAACACCACGCTAGCCATACAGGACCTGGCATATAAAACTTGATTCGTATATATTAAGGAAATAATGACCTTTCAGTCATTGAGGCTGTAGAGCGCATTGATTCAAGTAACTACCAAGGTGAAACTAAGTATATAATTTGTAGTCAAATGTGTACCAACAATGTGGCCTACTTGATAGGCCCAATTATTTTAAATTCTAACAGCATCATCATTTTGAGATTGAGGTTTACCGTGCATATGCTACTTGAGTCGCATGTCTGACTACTTTGCGACACGCTCAGGTATCCATCTAGTACCCACACCAAACCGAAACTACTCACAACCCTAATGATGACCCTATGAATAATGGGAACAGTAACCTGCAACATAGCACAATTAGGCTAGACATCGATGATCAGGACCTAATCCGAACAAAATTTCTTCGTACTCCAAGACCTCAAGAAGAATTATTGCATCCGGCGGCTGTAGTGGTCCGCTAATTTTCTCAGAAAGGGCCGAATTTGTGAGGTATAAATTGTGATTAAGAGTTGTGAAGTTACGTCGGACCCAGTCAGATTCGAGGTTGGTTCCAAGTTCTTGGCTATGATCTAGGAGTTCGAGGATTCCCTGGTGGTGAACTCGATTGAGCTGCTCTGACCGATTTATTTCTTCCATGTCGATGTCTTCAGTTGGTGCTACGGGGGGTATATCTTCGTTTTTCTTTTTTGTGGGAAACACGTCGGTGGCAGTATTAGTATCATTTTTCGGTCTTGAATGGTATTCTGCGAGAACATTTGCTTTTCCTCTTCGTTAGAGTATTTGCACACTGTAGTGTTTGGTTTTGTCTAAGAATCTGAAGATTTTCGCAGGCTGTTCCGCTTTGGTTTGAATACTATTCAGTAACTCGTGAACTGTTATAACTGTGACGTCTGCTCCTTCCATCCAATGTTTCAAGCAGAGTAGAATACATAGCAGTTGTCGCTCTTGTGCCGAGTACCGTCGCTGGGCATTGTTAGTTAAAACTACCAGGTTCTTGGATTCGAATCCGAAGATTATTAATTCATTTTATTGTCCTGTCCGAATCTATGACTACGTAGGATATGCAGGTCCTCTCTGCCTATAGGCTAAGGATAACTATGCCAGTAGTATATCCTCTCTTGTGCCTACCATACAGTTCCCCTCAAACAGTACCACCCCTCACAAGTCCTCATTTGATCATACACTTAGAGGAGCCCTTTGCCCTTCATTACCTCCCCTCTCCAGTCAACAAAACCATGGCCATTTGCGGGTGTATGGCAGCCGGGGAAAATCGCAAAAACCATTGGGTGCGGAGCTCTCCTGATACCGAAATTAGGATTAGATCCGAAGACATAGTGCTCCTTCTGAAGCGTTCGAAGAGGCCGACTAGCTGAGCGCTGCAGACTTGTGGGTACCTCGGAGAATTCACACTCTGCCTTTCTAGCCTCCTTCCACTTTCTTCCCGAAGGCCGTGCTGAAATTTCAGAAAAGTCTTGACAGAGCGTGATTGCTGTATGGAAGCTTAGCCCAACTTCTTTTGTGCCGTCCAGGGCGCTGGAGAGTGCCGTTGACTCATCGACGAAAGAGTCCCTCCTGACTAATTAGCCGAAATCTCGGTCTTGGCCCCCACAAACGTTCCAAAGGTTGAAAACTCTCCGAAAATATCAGTGCCAGCATGGTCTTCAGAGACCTGTTCTCCCTCTCGCTCCACACCTCAGCCGCCTATTCTCACTCAAGTTGTTTGTCCCATTAGAGCAACAGTCCCTCACAAGCCAAGACCCAGGCTTTGTATTTTTCGACTTCATTTCCTCCTTGCGGGTATAAATAGCGTCGTAAATATGTAGTGAGAGATGGCTGGAAATCAATGGGGCAAGCTCCTGTATGCAATTGGAGCAACTTTTTTGTTGGTCGTCGAGGCGAAATGATGTGTGGTTAGAGAGAGTTTGAGGACTCAGATGAGTATGGTAAGAGAGGCATTGCCGAGAAGTCGTAAAATGGAGATGTGCTGGAGGTTGCTTTCGACTTCGCCGGCGGGCCCGCATGTAAATTTTTTTTTTTGCATCAGATTTTAATTGCGTATGCAGCTATCTAGCTATGACACAATATCAAAGAAAAGTACAGAAAAGATGATTCAACGTAAAGGAAGAGCACTCATGCCTCGGATTTCATTTGCAAGTACCACTGCGAAGTTATGGTGGCTTTTTCTTCACCCCAAGTCAACCCTCATCCGTGAATACCCACTCAGGGGAACGTCTCAAAAACCCTGAGTTATCCAGACATGCCTCTGTCATCCATCAACTTTTCTCCGAGCGAAATGTAATCTGAGATGTCTCCTTCCCAAGTGGAGTAGGTGCCCAGGCTACTCAAACTATACCAGAGAACATCACCAGGGGGCGGATCACAACACCTTCCATCGTTGGCTTGTTTTTATAGTGTCAGCTGCACTCTCGCAAGCGAAGTCTTGGCGCGCACAAAGCTCAATTCGTAAAACTCCTTGCCAAAATTCGGAATCTCACGCCCTTCGATGTTATATCCTTCCTCCGCATCATCTTGTAAACTTGTCCTGATCCCTCTCACATCCATCCCAAAGAACTGTCTCCCAGATTTGTGCGCCACGCTTTGCTTCCTCCTTCGGGTATAAATATCGGCGTGGGCGTGTATTTGGTGACCAGCTGAGGCCTGAGAAAGTCAAAGAGAGGTGTGGTCATTGGGATGAGGATGTACTTGGTCGTACTTGTAGACTGGATGAGACAATGATAGGAGTCAAACTCGTTGGGAGCGAAAGAACGACGTGGAGGAGTAATTTGGATTTCTGCCTCGTAGGCCAACTTCTTTGATATTGCGAAATTTGACTGAACTTGGCTCTGGGAGAATATTTCACTCCCAGGTTCGTAGAGGACACCGCGTACAGGTGTTCACTCTTGCCCTCCGCCCGCATGTAATGATAGTATGTGTAGTTGAGCTCATAGCATCTTTGATTACTAATCGAATGTCTATGGCAATACAGCCAGGATGCTCCTCACTGGTAGCCTTCCCCGAGCCATATGTCACATTATTTTACGACGCACTGCCAGTAGGTGAGGTTACTTGATCTACAGCTTCTGTTTTTTTATCCTTCTCTACGGCTGGAACTCGAATCAATACTTTCATTATGACGACTGAACCACCAACACCTGTGGCTATGCTCATTGGTACCGCAATTATTGCCGGCATAAGTGGGTATATGATCGGGATGGCGGCATCTCTGGGGCTTGTGCCCAACCCGTTCTCATGGCTTTTTGGCATTTCCGACGCTGATTCGATTGCTGACGACGCGAGTGTTGAAAGCGAGGCGCAAGACATTGACGATAGTCTACTTGATCATGCACCAAACTGGACCAATTCTACTGCTGCGGATGAGAAGGATGGCTTACGCACGCCGGTAACTGCGCGCTTGGCCCCGCTGTCGAATGATGAAGAGTGCAAGCTTGTGCTCCTGGTTCGCACTGATCTCGGTATGACTAAAGGTAAGCCGAGCCAAGGTGCACCGCTCTTACAAAATCCTCAACTGACAATGTACGGTTCACAGGCAAAATCGCGGCTCAATGCTCGCATGCCACACTCGCCTGCTACAAGCATCACTTGCGCGCCAAACGAACTTCGCCTCTGCTCCGTCAATGGGAGCGACAGGGCCAAGCTAAGATAGCCTTGCAAGTCAAGAGTGAAGGCGAGCTCTCTCTTCTTCAAGATAAGGCCTTAAGTCTCGGCTTGGTTGCTGAGGTCATAACCGACGCTGGTCGTACCCAAATTGCTAGCGGCTCTCAAACCGTGCTTGGAATTGGCCCTGCGCCCAGAAGCATCATTGATCAGGTCACTGGCCACTTGAAATTGCTTTGAGGATTCGATAGGAGGCTCTGACTGAAGTAATTCTAGCTGGCGTTTGCGGTTGATTGGCTCATAGTATGATACGGATAAAAGATGAGTAGAGTAATCAGAAATAAGGGTAGATGGTTAGGCGTTCGAATTCACGAGGCGCAAGTAGAATTTCCGGTCTGAAACACAGAGGTATTGGCAAGGTTTTCAACATAATCTGGCCAGACGGGCAAAAAGCACTCTTTATATTTAAAATAATAGCAGCTGCTGTGTATGAGAATCTCAAAATCAAATGATTATACTCTAGTCATTGCCAGAGTGGTCGCTTGGCACACTGAGTTTCGGCCAAACTTAGTTTTCTGCCCACTCGTTCCCATCAAACCCCCACTTAGATGTGCGTGGGGAATGACTGGAGATACCTCCCGAACAACGCGATCTGGTAGATTCTTACTAATGAATAGCTGCAAACTCAGCACCTAAGCCAGGCGAATATGCTCAACTTCTCGAATCCATGTCATCCATCAATGGCCCGCCTGCGCCTGCTCTCTAGCAGCAGGCTTCGGCAGCTCAGCAACCGACCTACTGCTGGCTCTGTCTGATCTTGACTCTTCAGATAATGATACAAGATCACCCAGAGGCTCTTTCTCCCCGAGAGATCTAGTCGATACGTCATTGGACCTTGCCAACCAGCCGATTTTCTTGCTCGGTGAGCAGCCAGCGCATCATAACCTGGTGGAGCCGCTAACACTACAACTTGACGAACTTTATGGATCTCAATTGGAAGAAATACCGCTATATAGAGCCCGAGCCATCTCTTTGTAATCAGTGGCCAATTCAACTGCTTTCTGGTGGTATACATTTTTGCCACGGTCCACATCGAGCCCGCACATCGAAATCGAGTCATTCGTTTTCCTGACTTTTTTTTTTGTTTCATTGTGTATGCAGCTCTAGAGCTATGACAAATCTATCTAATTAAATGTTCTAAATTACAATTGTCCTTCATCAGGTACATTTTTCTCAAATTTTTTACTCATTTTATATCCATTTGTGCAAATTATATTACTTCATTCTAGGCACACTCTCTTGTGTATTCCTACATGAAATTAAGCTGTCCCCTATTTTTGGTAAATTAATACAGTTACTTGATTTAATAAATTTTAATGTTTTCCTGACTATTAACGTCTATGTGGCTTTTGCAGTAGCGGGGCCCAGTTTTTAGTGAACATGTCGTGTGGATTTTTTGAACTTCAGGGATACTCATTCTCTGGATTTCAATCGCCAATAGAAGTCAGGGTCGCTTTTTTAAAAAAATCATGTTGTACTGAGCTAACTAGCCATGCGATTAAATTTAAGTTTTAATAAACCTGAAAAATGATATTTATTGATGCCCCATAAATCCTCTCAATGCACTCCCATTTCAATTAGTTGCATTCCTATTTCATCCACTTTGCAAACTGACATAAATTTGTGGAAGGTTCAGTCATTGACACAATGTGGCTGGCCGCCGGCAAAGACGAATTCTTCACCTTCCAGCGGTACCGGTGTAGTCGATCAGTATGCTCTGCATATCTGGGGTAGCCAAGAAGAATCGTATCCGAATCGAAGTCGAAAGCAACCTCCAGCACATCTCCATTTTACGACTTCTCGGCAATGCCTCTCTTACCATACTCATCTGAGTCCTCAAACTCTCTCTAACCACACATCATCTCGCCTCGACGACCAACAAAAAAGTTGCTCCAATTGCATACAGGAGCTTGCCCCATTGATTTCCAGCCATCTCTCACTACATATTTACGACGCTATTTATACCCGCAAGGAGGAAATGAAGTCGAAAAATACAAAGCCTGGGTCTTGGCTTGTGAGGGACTGTTGCTCTAATGGGACAAACAACTTGAGTGAGAATAGGCGGCTGAGGTGTGGAGCGAGAGGGAGAACAGGTCTCTGAAGACCATGCTGGCACTGATATTTTCGGAGAGTTTTCAACCTTTGGAACGTTTGTGGGGGCCAAGACCGAGATTTCGGCTAATTAGTCAGGAGGGACTCTTTCGTCGATGAGTCAACGGCACTCTCCAGCGCCCTGGACGGCACAAAAGAAGTTGGGCTAAGCTTCCATACAGCAATCACGCTCTGTCAAGACTTTTCTGAAATTTCAGCACGGCCTTCGGGAAGAAAGTGGAAGGAGGCTAGAAAGGCAGAGTGTGAATTCTCCGAGGTACCCACAAGTCTGCAGCGCTCAGCTAGTCGGCCTCTTCGAACGCTTCAGAAGGAGCACTATGTCTTCGGATCTAATCCTAATTTCGGTATCAGGAGAGCTCCGCACCCAATGGTTTTTGCGATTTTCCCCGGCTGCCATACACCCGCAAATGGCCATGGTTTTGTTGACTGGAGAGGGGAGGTAATGAAGGGCAAAGGGCTCCTCTAAGTGTATGATCGAATGAGGACTTGTGAGGGGTGGTACTGTTTGAGGGGAACTGTATGGTAGGCACAAGAGAGGATATACTACTGGCATAGTTATCCTTGGCCTGTAGGCAGAGAGGACCTGCATATCCTACATAGTCATAGACTCGGACAGGACAATAAAATGAATTAATTTATTTTATTTTAGCATTTAACGTCCGCGGCGAAACTATCTTCCGATAGTCTCCAAAAACCTCCCTAGGGGCGAAGGACGCGCTGTCGAGCTAAGCCCGCAGCGAAATTTTCTAGCAGTTCTGCACTAATTACAATCCAGTCCAGTATCGCAATCTTATGCAATACTTCGGTCCCTACATTTATTTCCCCAGAGGAGACTACATTCCATTTATGATACTAGAGTATGCCACCGCCCCTTCCTCTGTGCCTAATAGCCAATTTATTGCCTCTTGAGTTCTAAGTTTTCCAGTATATCTTCTTACTGTCGCTCTTTTCAAGCGGCATAAAATGAATTAATGTGGCTAGCTATGGCGACACGGAGGAAGCGAGTTAGAATATAATCACGTGACAAGTGTGGCGTAACCCAAACGAGGATATTTAGATACAGATTAATAGATTGATTTAAATACAAGTCTCTACTAAGTTCTAGACTATGAAAGACTACTTTAAGATCTATCTAAATAGCTCTTTAATTTACAGGTTATGAATTTGATTTTGATTTCAATTAACGCGATCAGGCACCCTATGGGTCAATGCAGATGACTATCTGCATTATTTACAAAGGAGGAAACCAATTTGGTGTAAACCCCCTGATCCTGTCTTTTTATGCTCCTATCAATTTATTTGGTTTACCTTCAGGAAGTGCAGTGCACACTGTTCAGCCCGTGTGGATTCCGTCCTCTACCCTTCCAGATCTATTTACTTTACCCGACATTGCTACCTCGACTTCCCCTGCCAGTCGAAACTGTTTTATCCACCCTTTGTTTAGTACCCACTGTGTAATTCTAGCCATGTCTTCTGGGCTCTTCATCATTGCTTCAAATGACCTGTCTTTAGTTTGTCGGAGAAAGTCGCCTCTTCCATTTGCCCACTGCGGACACGCCAACACCATATGCTTGACGTTTTGCGACGGATGTCCACATTGACAGCTTGGCTTTTCTACTCCGGGTACATTTCTTCTGCTCAGGTAAGAATTGAGTCCGATATGCTCGCTCCTTAGCTGAATGGCGACACTGCTTTGGGCCCTGGTTAGGATATGGTGGATTCTTAAGGGTGTATCTTTGAAGTTCATTTTGACGCTGCCTGTTTGTTCATCAGTTAATATATTTGCCGCTTTTTTTAATTTATAGGTTAATTTTTAATTTGAATATTACGATTATAGGCCAGGTGATCCTGAGGGTCATTCTCTAATTTATTTTTACTTAGATCTAGATCTCGACTGGTAGTTAGGTATCGTTTTACGCATAACTACAATTATCAACTCCACACATCCGAGTATTCACTCACTGCCAGCCCGTGATACATGGGGACGTATGGTGTAGCGGTACACCGTCCGAGCCACTCTCAAGTAGAATCTGGATAGCTTTGTCACGTATTACGTTCGGCATGTGAGACTGTTATGAATGCAAGGTTATGGGAGGTGGAATAGTTACCGGTAAATAACTGCACGTTCACTGAGACTTGAAGGTAGAGGTAGTTTGTAATGAATTAGTAGACTTGCTTCTTTCATTCAAGCTTAGAGAATCACTACTTTTATATACATATACCACATTCTATGGCTTTCCATATCTCCAGTCGCTCAGTTCCATTCAGCTCTGAGTCATCACCTTCTATTCCATCCTGCTCTATTCTATCTGACTCTGGTCTGTTCTGTTTTAACCATTAGATTCTACATCTCTGTGATCCACAATAACCAGATGCAGGGGTGGTTGTGTCATCAATCACAACAGAGACTGCCAGATTAAAATCAGCAAATTCCGACCATATTCCTCGCAGTGCTGATGAGTATGATTGTCAAAGGCTTGCATGGTTAAATAGAGATGAGAAACTTGCGTTGAGAGCACCTGTGACCGATAGCCGACTGTACTGCATAAAAAAATACCTTAAAGTATGTATAGATGAAGTTTAGAGTATGAATTTATAAAGAGTCAAGTGTCGATAAAAATGAGAAGATGTTGTTAATTAGTTCTCAGAGCTCTCTTTCTAAATAAATCTTCAATTTTTTTGATACACAATTTTGTTGAGGAGTCTGATAGGACAAAAACTTTAGTTTATGATAAGCTCGAAGCGAATATCTCAACTGTTACAAAACCCGCTGTTTGCTTATGGAGATAATTTGAACATCTTCGCATGCTTGCAGAAGCTGCCGACACGCAATGCATGTGGGCCCGACGGAATTTCCTTTCGACCACTTAGCTATTTCTGGTGCAATTTTTATCCATATCGATATTCAGGTTCAAGTTACCCTTGGGACTCCAGATATTCAAGTAAACTTACTGTCTAATTTCCTGCTGATTTAATTGTACCAACATATATTATCGGAAGCAGATGTGTCGTTTGGATAGGGTTATGGGGTTGAGTTTAGTCGCTTTGGTCAGAAATATATTTCATCCCGCGACCGTTGGAACGATGAAGATATTAAGGTTGTCTGGCTTCATGCGCAGCAAAGTTCTTCGAGTTATTTCCTTTTCAACTTTTCAATGTCTCTCCAAACTTCCTTGCATTCCTTTTCAAGCTCGATATGTTTATCGGCAATGCTTTGCATAATTTTTTTTTTATCTCCATCCGGTTGCCCTAATCCGTAGCCTTCGAGAATCTTCTCTAGTTCTCTTTTCTTCTCCTTTAAGCGCTCTCTCGAATCACGAAGCGACAGCCGATATTCACTCAGGGCACTCTTCACATCATCAGTGTAAACCATTTTATAGCCTCTGATGTATTTGCTCGTTGCCTCCAGTTCAAGCTGCTGAGCCGTCAAACCCAAATACTCGGACTTTATCTTTAGTCGTCGAGCAACTGAACCGTACATGACCTGCTCTAAATGATTTATAACCTGCTCTGATGCATGATGGTGAAGTGATAATAAGGTCTTAACTTTTCCAACAAGCAAAACGCGCCTCAAATTCAATTCCTGACTCTTATCCTTGATCGTTTTCTGACGGGCTTGCACCGTCGACACAAGTTTTGGAATCGCTCGGTGAAGGAAAGATGCGTTAGAGCTGGGGTTTGATATGCGACAGAGGGCGAGAGCCTGTGTATGTAGATGAGAGGAAAGTAGTGCGCCAATCTGAGGCAGCTGGCTGGAAATAGAGGTCCAAAGTGTAGATGTTTCGAGAAGTTTTGTTGATGATGGTAAAAGAGGCATCGAGTTGTTACGGAAAATACTAGATAGGAGTATAATCGACTCGACAAGCTCGGATGGATGTTGTTTGAATATTGCGGAAGAGCGAGCCGTAGCTAAGGTAGCAGTCGGCGCTGGAGAGATATCCAGATTGCCGAGAGCCGACTTGAGCAAATGAGACTTTGCAGCACGACGATAACCGAGTTCCAGTGCCTATAATAAAACTACGAATCAGGTTCAATCCTAAGGTCTGTGGAGGGAATGCAGACTGGTTAGTACCAACCTCTTTCACTGCATTCCGTTCTTTCTGGGCGGCATGAAATTTAGATGTGCCATCGGGGGAAAGAAATTCACTCTGCAGAGAAGTGTATAGTGTAGCAAATTTCGGATTCTCCACCAGGATTGTATCTTCGACTGGCGGCAACATGTTGGATAAATGATTAGAGGCAAATATGCACTAGAGAAGCTTTTGGGTTGTTGACATTATTGACCGTCACGGGGTAAAACATTCCAAGAATTGGGTTCTGTGTCTTCTTATCACGTATTAGATGAGTCTCAATCAGCGCTTGTGCCTGGCATGTAAATTGGATGTGATTGTCGTGGTTCACGGACGGATGTTTGTTGGTGTCGGTAATGATTGTGAGCCGATGACATGTGACTCTCAGAATTAGGGCCCGACAGTACTACTGTTCCTCAAGTCAATAAATATGCTGTTGGAGAGAGAAATACAGATGTTTATTGCACTACTTGAGTCTTAGATTATCTAGCACAATGGGCTCCTCTCTGACCCAGGCCACACCTTGTACAGTGCTCCTATCCTCTTTTGTTACTTGAAAGATCATTGATATATTCCCCTTGATGAATAGCCATTCAGCTCAGTATTTACCCGTGGAATTCGGCCACCTTGTCCACGGAACCTTCTCCCAAAAAACTAAAATGGTAGCAATGGAAACTGCGTGCGCGGGAAAAAGTCTCAAAACCAGCAGCCCCAGCCAGGCGAGGCCTAGACACCGGGACCACACGAGGTGCGCATATTCATCTATATTCCCCTTCTTTGTAACATTCGAGGCCGTCTTGATTCAATCCATCATCGCCGTATTGGGTGCTGGGTACGCCTTGGAAGCTCATCGAATGGCTTTTCCTCCATGACCAAGGGTGGGTGATGAGAAAGGCTTCAACCCTTCTATTTGATCTGATCGAGTTTAGCTCCATGATTATGGTGCTGGGGATTCATGCTGAGAGGTGAAGACTATGGGGAATCCTCATAGAAGTGAGGACGTTTTTATTCAATCTCAGCTCTGCAGCCTCTACAGTGAGAGCTGGGGGCTCGAAGAGGACACTACTGATATGTGCTGAGAATAGTCCCCCAAGATGCCGTTGAATCTAATTACATATTGTTATCATTCAAACTTTTTCTCCCAATCCTAAGCTGAATGTGAAAGGTTTAAAGAAGCCAGAAGTACTTGAAGTAGATAACTCAATGGGAATGAATAATTTTTCCTTGGAAAGCTAATCTAAATTATCGTATCCTGTGCTTTATTTCCTCTGCATAGACTATTTCTAGCTCCCTCCGTTGGCCACCTGAGAATCATCCTTTCTCCCCGGCTCATCTATTCTCCTGTACCATACTTCTCATTTGGTACGTACCCCCCTTGATACCTCCTTAGCGCCCCATTCGCATTTCCGGGAGCATTGCTCTGCCACAGCCTAAAATCGAGGAGGGCAAGACTGAATACCTGTACGCGGTGTCCTCTGCGAACCTGGGAGTGAAATATTTTCCCAGAGCCAAGTTTGGTCAAATTTCGTAATACCGTAAAAGTTAACAAGATGATGCGAAGGATGGATACAGTCTCGACAGACGCGGAATTTCGTAATTTTGGCAAGAAGTTTAACAAATTGAGCTTTGTGCGTGCCAAGGCTTCGGTTGCGAGAGTGCAGGTAACGCTATAAAAACTGCCATGGTTGGATGGTGCGGTGGTACATCGTCTCGGCCGGTCTGCCAAGTAGAGTCTGGATAGCTTGGACGCATGTCCCACTTGAGACAGTAGATCGCTGGTTCAAATCCAGCAAAACACAACCACATTTCTCGCGGCGCTGGTATACATGGATGACGAAGGCATGCTTGGGTAACCAAAGGTTTTGAAACGTCCCTTTGGTGGGTACTTACGGAGGAGGGTCGAATGTTTGTGTAAGCAAGCATACCTCATAGTGGTATTTGCGAATGAAATCCAGAGTATGAGTGTCTCTAACGTTAAAAGAGTCATCCAACATGTATAAATAGCACCGGTCATGTGTCACAGCTAGATAGCTGAATACATATCAAATTATTTAAAAAAAAAAAAAAGACTAAGGGCTAAAGTGTTGTGATTGATGACACAACCACCCCTGCATCTGGTTATTGTGGATCACAGAGATGTAGAATCTAATGGTTAAAACAGAACAGACCAGAGTCAGATAGAATAGAGCAGGATGGAATAGAATGTGATGACTCAGAGCTGAATGGAACTGAGCGACTGGAGATATGGAAAGCCATAGAATGTGGTGTATGTATATAAAAGTAGTGATTCTGTTACGGTTTGACCGCTATTAGAGCTTAGGTAAATATCTAAGCGGATTGTTGGGAATATTTACAACTAGGCGGCACTACTAGTCAGGAGGTCGAAGCGTTACTACAACTAAGTAACACTTGGCAATGCGTGGCTGGGTAGCAAGTATTGTGCCTAAGGATAAGTCACCAGTCTGGAGATTGACGAAGGGGACCAATTCTTATAAATACCTGTTAGTCGTAGCTAGAGTTCCCTTTTCTCCTCATATAGTTTAATAAATCGATTTATTCACAACCAACTCGGTTTCCGTCACAGATTCTCTAAACTTGAATGAAAGCAAGCATGTCTGCTAATTCATTACAATCTACCTCTACCTTCAAGTCTCAGTGAACGTGCAGTTATTTACCGGTAACCATTCCACCTCCCATAACCTTGCATTCATAACATAAAGTTGAAATATGATGGTGGCATGCCTGGAGCACTCAGAGTTTTTGAGACGTTTCCCTGGGAGGGTATCCACGGATGAGGTCATAAGGGGTAAGAATCAACCTCGAGTGGTAACTGCAAAAGAAGTCTGAGTGTGAGCGTTCCAATCTACAAGTTGAGTCATCCTACTCAAAATACAACCCTTCCGATAAAACCTGCACATGCCTCAAGACGCAAGATTAGGATAACGAATTATATGTTTGAATTTGTTTTCATTATCCTGATTTGGCGTCCTATGGGCCCTTTTTTTTGCATCAGATTTTAATTGCGTGTGCAGCTATCTAGCTATGACACAATATCAAAGGAAAGTACAGAAAAGATGACTCAATTTACAAGAGGAGCACTCATGCCTCAGATTTCATTTGCAAGTACCACTGCGAAGTTATGGCGGCTTTTTCTTCACCCCATGTCAACCCTCATCCGTGAATACCCACGCAGGGGAACGTCTCAAAAACCCTGAGTTATCCAGATATGCCTCTGTCATCCATCAACTTTTCTCCGAGCGAAATGTAATCTGAGATGTCTCCTTCCCAAGTGGAGTAGGTGCCCAGGCTACTCAAACTTTACCGGAAGACACCACCGGGAGGCGGACCACAACACCTTCCATCGTTGGCTTGTTTTTATAGTATCAGCTGCACTCTCGCAAGTGAAGTCTTGGCGCGCACAAAGCTCAATTCGTAAAACTCTTGCCAAAATTCGAAATTTCACGCCCGTCGAAAACGTATCCCTTTTCTGCATCATCTTATGAACTTGTCCTGATCCCTCTCACGTCCATCCCAAAGAACTATATTCCAGATTTGTGCACCACGCTTTGCTTTCTCCAGCGGGTGTAAATATCGGCGTGGGCGTGTATTTGGTGACCGGCTGAGGCCAGAGAAAGTCGACGAGATGTGTGGTCATTGGAATGAGGATGTACTAGGTCGTACTCGTAGACTTGATGAAGCTCAGTTGAGAATCGGACTCTTTCGGAGTGAAAGATTGACATAGTGGAGCAATTTGAAATTTTGCCTCGTGGGCCAACTTCTTTGATATTGCGAAATTTGACTGAACTTGGCTCTAGGAGAATATTTCACTTCCAGGTTCATAGAGGACACCGCGTACAGGTGTTCAGTCTTGCCCTCCGCCCTATGGGCCCATGCAGGTGTCTATCATACTTTGTTATTTACATGGGAGGAAACTTTGTGATGAATTATTTGTTTATTTATATTACATAGCCCCACGTAACCTGTAAGCTGATGACTGAGCCTTCAACGGTAATGAGGGTTAAATAAATTTCAGATTGGCACTTTCTCCATACAGACTCTAGAAGTATTTCATAGTCATAGACTTCGATAGTACTAAAATAAAATCTAATCTTTACCTCAATGTTCCTCGCGAATGAAGTCCACACGAGGTGCACTAGTATTTTTTAAACTACTTTTTGTCATGCCGGCGCCCAACAGTAAGATGACGGTCAAGTACTAGTTAGCTCAGTCCGTGTAGACTACGCAACATGCTAATGCCCGCAAAAGAGCCCAGTAATTTCAAAAAGTGAGGTTAAGCCACTCCTTAGCGTTTCAGAAGGTCACAAAAATTTTGAAGTAATGAATGTCTCTGCCAACCTTCTTCGTGCTAGCCTCCCAATGTTGAAACCTCTACTAATAACACTTTTAAAGCCTCCACGGCCCATTATTTTTCTCACATTTCCCCACAGACATAGTTTTCTTCGTCGGGCGTTCCCACTCAGTAACCCAAGATAGGCGTCCTCCGACAATGTGATGGACCATCACCAAAACAATAAGAGGAAAGTAAGCTGGCCGTAGTACAATCTATTTTCTAATTATCTAGGAGATGGTATCCATCTAGGCCGATGGATATATATATTAATGTGACTCTGACTCGAGGGAGGGTAACATCCGTCGGATAAGAGATTATCCGCATTCTTGAGGTAATCTATGCACGACTCGTGACTACAGGATCGGTTACCACTTGCAATACCACAAATGACCACCGGCGATTCGTACATAGATAGACACGAGTACATAGATGTAAGGCGCAGCCTGTAAGAGATAATCCCTCGACAAATCCAACTTTGAAAAGGAGAGTCGCGAGTGCCGTCGTGACTTTTTCGGAATTAAATAGGGGGTTGTTTGGTTGTTTGGGGTATCGAGGGGGGTGCAGTATTCAGTATAACCTAACATCTTTATTAGTATTGATTCGATTCTTTATGGTTTTTGAAGAGAAGAAATCTCTGCAATCCGGGAGGACCGACCAAATGCAGCCCACCACCGCTCATTCTGGAAAGGATTTGAGTGGGGAATAAATCGAATTGACAGCTGGCTGATGACTTAGATTTACCTCTGGAAGAATATATCACTGCTAGGTTCGCAGGGGACAGGTTTTCAGTCGTTGTCCTCCCAATCGTTGAGATTCTTTTAAATCATTTAATCTTTATTCAGCTATCTAGCCATGACACATTATCGGTATTATCTTTACATGTAAGATGACTCTTTTGACTTTAGGGACACTCACACTCTGGATTTCATTCGCGAATACGACTTTGAGGTATGTTTTCTTACACAAACACTCGACCCTCCTTCATCGTGAGTATCCACCAATGGAACGTTTCAAAACCCTTGATTATTCAAGCACACCTTTGTCATTCATTGACTTATCTCCGCGCGAAATATTGTCTTAGGAGTCTCCTTTCCAAGTAAAGTGGGTGTCCAGGCTACTCAAACTATACCGGAGATCACCACCAGGAGGCAGACCACGGCGTTTTCACAGTTGAGTTGTGTTTACAGTGTCACCTACACTCTGGCAATCGAAGGCGTGGCGCGCGCAATGTTCTTCATTTTGAAAAATCTTGTGGCCAAAATTCAAAATCTTACAACTTCCGAGATTGTATCTATAGTTTCCATCATCTAGTCCACTCATACAGAACCCTTGTATGTCCGCCCGGAAGATCTGCCTCTCCAGATACGTGCACCCCGAGTTTTGTACTCCCGAAGACATACATATTACTGTGGACGTGAGGTTGGTGCCCTGTGCAGACTAGAAACTAAGTGACGTGAGTAAAGTCACGGAAATAAGTACTAATTTGTCCTTGTAGACTTCATATTTAATTGTTCTTAATCGATGTTCAGGCGTGTGAAAGACCGGTGTGGTCAGGGGCGTTGAGCGACTGTCTCGCGAGCCAACTTTGTCGGAATGGCGAGTTTGTCCATACTAACTTCTGGTGGTATATTTCCCTCCCAGGTTTGGAGAGAACAATGCTGAAAGGTGTCGTGTCATCGCCCCCACCGCGGAAGGATTTATTTTGACCATGCCTGGCTCTTGGCGGTATGGTTCTTACTCAAGATGCTTGTTAGTCATTTCGGATTGGCTATGCTGTAGAATTAATCATCTGCAGAGCCAGACTCATGGATTGAGGTAAGTCTATAAGTCTGTGGCGATCATTTAAAGATAAGGATCCATCCAGCAGAGACTCTTCTGTATGCTGAATTCATTCCGACTTCCTTCACTTAATTCAGCTATCGTCGAAAAATCATCACTTCGCTGATTCCCAGTCAAAAAACCTCTCCGCTGGATATTAATCCTCATTCAATAAATCTTTATTTTACGACAATATTTGCGTACTTTTTACTACCATGGTCTGTGTCTTTGCATTTATGCTCATTTCGTCAAGTGTGAACACGCATCTAAATCGTATGGTTGTCGTGTCCAATGATCCGTTAATTGAGGACTATTATGTTTACGATGCTGTAAATACTGACTTCTATGTTCCTCACTTCTCCGAGGATCTCACAATTGCTGAAATCAAAACTGACAGCCCCGGTACATACTCTACGATGTATTGCTCAGTCAACATGGGGGTCCAAACGATAAGGGAAAAAATTACTCGTTCGAGATTAAATATTACTGGAGCTCACATGAATATCCACGCCGCAGAAAGACGGCAGAATCACGATTGTTTAGCCGAGATTGGAATTAAGAAGCGGAAATCAGAATCCCTAGATCAAAATAAACGAGTGAAATTAATAGATATGGTCTCTTTATCAGATCTCGACGAAAGAATGTGTCCGCCGGTTACGGTGGCTACCCTTTCTTTAATGTACCAAATCGCAGTATATGGAGAGTACAGTTCTTTTGCCCCAAGGAAACATATTCAAAAAGTTTATGTCAGAGCTGATAAAGCGCTTGAGCTGGCGAAATTAGTACACGATCGTCAAATTTTCCTAGGCAAGCATTGGACACAAAATAAAGTGGCTCTAATCTGGTATCTCGGAAACCTTCACTTAATAAAGCAAAGGGAGCTCGGGTGGTATTTTTTAACCAGTTTAGACCATCAACCATTTAACGGAGCCTTGATTTATTTCTACATGCTTGGAATTGAACCTGAAATATGGAATGAAAGTCATCAACTGTTCATCGAAATAAAACGACGGTTAAAATCTCACCAACACAGAAACTATTTCCATGAGGTACTTAACCAGAAAAGTTTACCCGAAGCATCCAGACAAGCACCGAGTAATATGTTGAAGATTACTGCAGCGAGGCTCAAACCGACTCCCGCATACGGCACCTTCGGTTTTTTATCGTCATAAAAGGCCGTGACCAGGCCACACTTGGCAACGCTCATTGAGAGGGAACCATGTATTTGAATTTGAAATCTTTAACGTGACAGGACGAACCCAACATCTATTTAGACGTGACACGGGTAGATGGGCCCTACGAGCTCATTGCTACCTACATGACCGGCATTAAAGCCAGAAGCGACAAAAGAAAAATAAAATCACAGCAAATGTCTGAGTTACGGTGCCCTGCACCGTATCCCTATCTTCCAAACACCTCTCCTCTCGAGCCAGAAACTATCTCAGCATGGTCACTCCCACCCTGTCAGTTCTTCGGCAGACTGTAGCATCTGCTTATGGTTAGGAATTGGAAAAACTTCTGCCATCCCTTCTCCCCTATCATTTCCCTGACCCCAGGTGGAGTCATTTTCTCACAGCTTCTCCAACGTTGCAGAGCAGGTCGGCACTCTGAAAAATGCCAGGGCCTTTTCTCTCGGCCACAAATGCACATCAGATCTTCATGTTCGGGGTTGAAACGCCGGTGGTAGTCGGCGTAGTCCCCGTGGCCTGTTCTTGCCGCAATAAGACGGTGATACGCCCATCGAGGCAGAGCCAGTTCCGGCGGTCGCTTGCAGCGCATGTAGAGGTCGAGATCTTTGTATCGTTTAGGCCGATACTTCTGCCACCACTCTTCCACAAGCTTTTGGCTCCGCATTTTCACTAGTCTCCCTAGAGCCGCAAAGGTCAGAATTTGCTCGTCTCCGTTGGGCGAAGCTGCGGTTAGTGATTGGTCATTGAGATCTCCCAGGGCTGATTTGGCCAGCTTATCGGCTTCTTCGTTGCCTTGGATCCCCACATGACCAGGTATCCAGTGTATTTCTACACGCCTATTATGTCTCAGCGATGAGAACTTGTCCACCACTGTCTGCGAGGAATTGGATCTTCCTTGTTCGAGCGCTCTGACGGCCGCTTGATTGTCCAGAAGAATGCTGACCGGAAAGCCTTCTCCCACCGCTAGTGCAGCCTCCAAGGCTTTCATAGCGCCTACAACTTCTGCGTCGAATACCTCTGCTCCGGGAAGCGGACCCGAGCCACTTCCAGCTAGTTTGCCTCCTTGGTATACCACATAACCCCAAGCTGATTGCCCGGGACCCGACGAGGATCCATCAGAGAAGGCACAGACTGCGTTGGCTGGAAGGGAAGTTAACCATCGTTTGATGCTTCCTGACCTAGCTTCTTTTTCCCGACTGCCTGGTGTCGATGCCGGGAGACCATGGGGAAAGTAGAGCTTTCCAGGGCCTTCCGCTGTCGAAACTTGACGCACGCTTATTTGTAGGCGTGTCATGTACCTTTCTGGCTGTCTGAACAAGCGATCTCGTTGTCCCGATCTAAGACCTAGGCGTTTTATAGTATCTTTCGGGTCCTCCGCCGCCCGAAGGGCTAGAGGGTGCCAGGCATCCATTCTTCGCATTCGAGCTGCAGACCGCAACATCTTTTGTTGGAGAATTATTGATGCCGGGGGAATTCCCGCTTCACGATGAAGAGCGCTATTGGGAGTGGTACGCCACGCTGGGAGTGCTACTCGTATAGCTTTCGTGATAGTTTTGTCCAGCAGAGATGTGTGCCACCCTACTCCAGTGCCGACTTCTTTATCTCGGATGGTGGTTATTCGAGAAAGACCCGGCCACCACGCTTCTGCCCCATAGAGAGCTGTGCTCAGAACGCATGCCTGTACCGCACGAATTAGAGGTCCGGGTGCTGCCCCGCGCTGAACTCCGTTTATATGTCGTAAAAAGTGGACTAGACGATTAGCTTTTCCAGTCCATTCCTGTACATGCTGCTTGAAGTTCAGCTGAGTGTCAAGCCAGACTCCTAACCACCGGATATGAGGCGACGGTTCGATCCGGCGATCTTTCACCAAGATGGAGAGGTTGGCTGTGTTGATTTTCTTCCTAGGACCTCCTCCGGTCACTAGAAGTTCCGACTTTGCCGGGTCAAATTCGATCCTGTGTTCTCTGGCGAGAAGGACGAGGCTGTCGAGGTCTTCTTGGACTGCTGCGATAGCTTCGGCCGCGGTGCTTCCAACTCTAATGATGGCTAGATCATCAGCATAGCCAAACCTGCTCGTTAGTCCATGGTCCTTAAAAAGCACAGCGATATAGAGCATGAAAAGAAGTGGTGACAGTGGCGAGCCCTGAGGTACTCCACATTCCAGCATCTTCTCGTCTGTGGTTCCACCACGGTATTTCACCTGGACTTTTCGTTGGCAGAGAAAGGTCTGAATGAACCGGCACAGAGATAGTGGCCAGCCTTGTTCTCGAAGGCGTTGGAGTAGTCGGTTGTGAAGGACTGCGTCAAACGCACCTTGGATGTCTAGTGTGACCATAGCCGCACATTTTCCGCTTCTCATGGCCGCCTCAGCATCATGGATTACACAGGATGCAAGGTCGACCGCAGATCGTCCTGGTACTGAGCCGAATAATTGCGGATGAACAACTTGGTGACTTATCGTCAGCCATGCCATTCTCTTGCCAACTAGACGCTCAAGTCCTTTACCTAAGCTCGACAGCAGCGAGATTGGTCGCCAGCCCTTGGCAGTTGATAGATTTCGTCCCGGTTTGGGAAGAAGCACAACATCTGCCACCCTAAATGCCGTCGGAAAGTGGCCGATTTTTAGACAGGCCTGGTAGAGATCCTTGACCAGAGGCCCGAGGTGGTACCAACAGGATTTCAGTAAACGTACTGTTATTTTGTCCGCTCCCGGTGCCGTATCATTGACAGAGATGGTAGCGTTTGTCACATCTTCCAGTGATATTTCCGTATCCCATGGAATGCGCACCTCCTGTCCATTCTCCCAGGTTGGGATGTCGTTCTCGCTGCTAAATCTTGCCAAGAGAATGTCTCGTAGCGCACTAGCCCGCTCTCGCGGGTCTGAAAGCCACCGATTTTCCTCAATCTGCAAAGGAGGGGGCTCAGCTGCTGGTCGAGGCTTAGCCCATCTCATGAGCTTGAATACCTGTGCGTCAGTTGTAACTGCCTCCACTTGCCTCTTCCAGTACTCTCGCTTGGCTTTTCGCACAACGGCTCTAAAGCTTTTACGCGCCTGTCTTACAAGGTCCGGATTTTCTCTCGCTGCCTTGTAATCCTGCCACTTGATGCGACATTCATCGTTCCACCAGGGCCCGGTTTTTCCGCTTTCAATGGCTGGGACTTTCCCCGCAATCTTCAGCGCGTCTGCAAGAGCCTGCAGGAGATTAGCTGTGAATTTTTCGATGTCCATGACACTGTCCAGAGGGGCAGCTTTGGTCCATTGGCTGACACATCGGTTGAATTCCTTTAGGTTCTCATCGCTGACACGAGTGTTCCTTACAATTCCAGATAGGTCTGATACTGTAGGGTTTAAGACTGTACCCTCGATGGTCGAGTGATCTGAGGTACAGTGATACTGCTTGGAGACTGATGCTGTTGCAGCTGTGTTGCTCCACGTTAAGTCCAGCACGTTCCCATCCCTATGCGTTGGCTCTCCGACAATGCTAACTAGATCCATATCGTGAGCTGTTGCCCATTCCATGATCTGGCCTCCATTGCCGTACTGAATTGTCGTTTGCGGCTGCCAATGCTGTGACACAGAATTGAAATCGCCACCAACAACCACGAGTCCTCTGACTACCCACCGAAGTAAGGGCTCCAAGGTTCCACTGGTGCCCGGGGCACGATACACGTTGACGAAAGTCAGGCTGCCCATCTTTACAAAACAGTAGTCAGATGTCGGGCCTGATGACGGCGGAAAAAATTGAGTCGCACCAATGCCTTTGCGTGTGAAAGTACTCACGCGGGGCCGGACGTCTGTTCCTCCAAACGGTATGTGGCTATTGTATCCAGGGTGACTTTTGGTGATAAAACCCCCCTCTTTCTTCCTTGTCCATGGTTCCTGTACCATGACTACATGTGCACCGGCGTCCCATGCCTGCTGCAATGCTATATCTGTATTCTCCCCACCCCTTCCTACATTCACTTGGTGAAAGTGGAGAGTGTTATGTTTATCTTTTGGTGCTTTTGTTGAGGGGTTCCCTAACATTAACACGTCATTGTTGAATCCGGGGTAATGACAGTTTCAACTGCCTTGCCCTTCCTTTCCGAATACGCTAGAGCAGCGTGATAATCACGATGCCCGCGTTCTCTGATGATGTGTAGTTCTGCAGGGGTACGGGGCAGAATTATCCCGTTTTGTCTTCTTGGTCGGGCCATGCAGCTACTCTCATGTGAGTGGTGAGGTCCGGCACAATTTGAGCACTTTGGCACCTTGGCCTGGCAATCTGATGTCTCATGGGTTCCCCCACATCGTCCACATCGTTGGCTCCGGGTACAGGAACGCGTAGTGTGGAATCCCCAGCAACGTTGGCATTGCTCGATTGGTCGTCGGCGCGAGAAGGGAATTGCCGGTCCGCTCTCGTCAAAAAGACGGAACTTTGTGTTTGCTGGTTTTTGTTGGAAATGAATGATCCAGCTCGTTGAGTACTGACCAAGCTTTGTTTCTGTGGGCCGTACCTGGATTGGTGTGGCGCCACATACTGCCTGGCACTCGTTCTTCACCATTTCAATGGTGACTGGCATGCTGCCTTCAAGTGTCCTGATATACAATGGCACATGTGGTACCATCAGAGATGTCCATTTTGAGGCTGCCTCAATCACTGTGTTGTCTTCCTGTAGGGAAGGTGCACTTCTGATGATTGTGTCTCTCAATGCGTCTGACGCACATTCGAGAGCGATCCCCGACCTGACTGGGTACATCGAGGTGATAGCTGAGGCTGCTATCCCAGCCTTGTCGGTTATTATCTTTTTGATTGTGACTGGTGATAATTTGTGCCAGTGGTGCTCTCTACCCAAACGAAGGAACAGGCGTTTGTCTTCCTTGGGTGTTGTCTGTGCCTTAGGCCGGCTTGTCGGAGCCGGTCTTCTCGGAACTTGCGCACTGGGCGGTGTTGGTAACTTGGCTGCTTTGCGAGCAACTGTAACCCAAGGCGAGCTTTTTT